GAGGAGGGGCGTGGGGGGGGGGGGGGGCACACAAATCAAACCAAACCAAACATAACTCAAGTAATAGGCTAACCAGGTTACCATTTTAAATCAGATCAGCTTCCACCAAGTGCTCTGTTAAACACTGGCAGCATCTTCGGGGCCAGAGGCAAGCACAGGTGCTCCTCTGAATACTGTGAGGCTCTTATAGAATTTATCTATGTTTTTATCTTTCATAAGTTCAAGACTTTGGGAGAGAGGGCGGGGATGGGAAGCTAAACACTGAGCAACTGAGTTTAACTGCCTCCTACTAAAACAGAGCAACTTGGGACGAAGGCACTGAAGAAACTCCCTCCGTGGGAGTCCCTCCCAGTCAGACCAATCACTATGAAGAGCCATCTTTAAGCTTCACAGCTTTCCCCAGTGTTAAGGAGCAAGGAAGAGCAGTCATATTCTAGCTCCACCACCCAAGTGTGTGGTACCTTAGGTCCTTCAGAGGCAGCCATGGGGAGCCGAGTAAAAAATGGAAAAAGGCCAACAAATGGTATATCATTAAGTGGGTTTTGCAGCTTAAGCTATTTAGTATTTATTAGTCCTTTCCAAAGCATGTTAGGGACCATTTCACCTAACAATTCTGTAGCTGCTGTTTGGTTGAGCAGGACTAGGTCTCAGGCACCCTGCACACTGCTCAAGATCAGCAGGCTAAGCTTTCAGCTTTGAAAAGTTATCCAGGCTTGGAATAAAAGAACCTTGACACTATATTGTTTAGAGGGTTGCAATGGAAAAAGAGTGTTACAGTAAGTTATACAAGCCAACAATACCATGAAAATAGCCAGTGGTGTAGGAAGCTACCAGTATAATAATTAAACTAACCTTTGGCTATCATTTGAGGCACACTAGGTCAAATTGGAACAATTTCTTTGGAAAAAAAACAAAAAACCCTGGCAGATTCCATCCCCCCAAGAAGCTAAGTAGCTAGTCATTTCCTCACAAATAAATATCCCTCAATGTGATGTTCTGACTTTTTTTTTTAGTGCAATCTTATCTCAAAAACAGCTGCAAAAGAGGCCGAACCCAAGAAGGTCAAGATTTTTTCCACTAAGTCATGCTTTTTAATCATAGAAGCAGCATAAAATGAGATGTTGCAACTGCACTTTCAAGGGGTGTGGACATTCAGTGGAAAAAAAAAATATATATGAAGCCAGATTTCCTAGCACGTGACAGATAGAACAAGAAAGGCCGACTGTGGGAACTAAAGGAAAACTTTGTTGGACTCAGACGCCACTGGACATTGAGGACAGGTATGAAAATGACTCCAAGCAATCTAATCAACCTCCCCCCATCCTTATCTCCCCAGCTACTCAAAAAAAAAAGTCAATCCAATTCCTAGTCTCTTTACTGAAGAGCCATCCCCAAACATACTAAATTTCTTCATATGCACCTGAAATTGAGTACAGTCTGTTGGCCTGCAATGGGGGTTGGGGGGGCAGGGAAGGGACTATTACCCTTTAAAAGCAGGAATTGGAATAAGGAAGATAGTCTACACCTACCAAAGCTATTCAAAGTGTGTTAAATTGAGTCACTTGCATGCCAGAATGCACGTACAGCAATCATGCACAGCTCTTAATTTAAAGCTCACTGCTCTATAGCTAATGCCAACAGACATGGGTGGGTGCACATGTGTGGTCTTTTCACTACCCAAAAATGCTGCAGAGATAGTTTCTGTGACATGCCAACTTCCTATACCATGTCCATATGTAGGGACCTACCGAATTCAGGGCAGCTGCCACCCTATTTCAAAGTCTGAATGTGGTGCCAGTCACTCTTTTCACATCCAAGAGTGGTGATTCTCTATGCACCACAAGACGTGATGCCACTGTTTTTCTGAACCCCAACTCCAAAACAAGGCAAGTGAATCCTTTTTGACAATTTTCACTCAGAGATCTTTCAAGAATCTCATTCTGCTGTGAAGCCGATTTGCTTCCAGCTCAGGTATATACAAGCCTGCATTCTCACCTTTCACTAGGAAGGTGCACTGAAAAGCAATGCCAGAAAGTCCTGAACTGGAGGAAGATCACCCATGTTTGCCAGGTGCCCCAAACAACTTCCTCAGGAGTGAAATCTTGGCAACAAGAGTGGAAAATATTCAGTGGCTCCGGAAAGGCTGACTCTGCCTGTACCCTGCCCCAGCACACCACAAGAAAGGAGGGGAACTTTGCCACAGTGAGCACAAGTCTGCAAGAAGCAATGCTAATAAGGAAGCCAGATTCTACCATACAGCAGGGTGAAAGCTAGTTAACTGTATGCAGTTGGCTCATTCTTGACAAAGCAAACCGAGACACTAGCAGCATGCGCATCCTGCATTTTGGGAGAGGAAACCTGCCATCCTTTCAAGAACAGCTATAAGAGCTAGATTCAAATTTAAGTTACAGTGATTTAAATCTAGGGCAGTTTCTAATTTAGTGGCCTTATCCCAGGCTGACACCAAAATAAATTCAGAATCCAGCTCTAGTAGTCACCCCCACAGAAGCCCTGGAAACTGTCATTAGCTGTTCAGCAATAAAGGAGCCCCTTCCGGAAATAAGAGCTGCTGAGAAATTGAGCCAGCTGTTGACTTTGGAAGAGTTTTTTAAGCCTAGTAGTCTTCCTCTTCTAGGAACACAGACACAACGGTTTGAGACAGTTATGTTCTAACATCAGCACTTCAGTCCGCATCAGTGGTTCTCAACCTCAGTAGACTCAAGGCACCCCTCAGAAAATGCTAGCTCTTAGTTTTCAAATTTTGATCATGGAAACAGCAAGCACTTTTTTTTCTTGCTAAGAACTCTAAAAGACCACACCAGGGCAGAATGGTTTTGCCGCTGTGGATCCCAAATTGAAATTTCTGGGTTTGTCTCATGAATCCCATACACTGGCACACCTA